CGCTCCGCGCACTCCCCAGCGCCCGTGCCTTACTCTGCCACTCTTTCCTTTTACTATGGTGTGAAAGTTTGGTATGAAAATCGGGGATTTCATTTCATTTCTTTCTTCACCTTGATCTAGTTAAAAGTTTTAGACTTGTAATCTTTCTCTCTCCAGTTAAGGAGTGAGTGACATAGTGGGCTTAATTGGGTCAATTCATGGATGTCACATCCACATATCTTTATCCTCGGCGATTTCTCATCTGGTTCTGGTTGACATCCTGTTGCAATCACACACATCCACACATATTCTATTAATTACCTCCTACTTTGTTTTTCATTGTGTATTCACCTCACCACCCTCCTACTTTTGTTGGACAACATCATCCTACGCCTAGTTTCCTATTAAGGATGCGTTTAACTCACGTAATTAACTCTTTCTTGTTTAATAATGATTCATTACTTTACCTTATTTTAATATTTTTTTTTCATTTAATCACGTGATGTAACACAATTCTATTTTGTATGATTAGAACTCTAACTTATAATCACTTGTTAAATTAGGGTAACCTCTTATTTATTTATTCACTCGTATAACAGTATTGAATGTTATTTTAAATGTTTTACACTGTTAACAAATTAAAGAAAAAATAGAACTTTTAAAATTAGATTTCCATATACACAAGTGATCAATAACAATCTTATTCATACATTTAACTTGATGGGTTCACATAATAATTAGACACTTTTTAATTATATTGTAAAAACGATTTATTTAATAAAAAAATCTCATATTTGATTCTCGTTATATGCAAAAACTCAAGTATTATAAATAATATGATAATAATAGAAAAATATTATTTAAATGCCTTTAAATTTTTTTTCTCTTGTCACATGAATTTACAACTCATGGATCATTAAATAAATATTTTTAATTATATAATGTTTTATGATTTGATAATGTTAAAAACATTATTAGTATATTCTACATTTTATTATAAACTTGATAGATATAAATTAAATTAAATTATAAAAACTGGCGTGTTTATATATTTAAAGAACAGAAGCGTGTTTATTGGAAAGACGTTTTACAGCTAACAGATCACGTACTTGGATATGAAGAAAACGTAAGAACTATAATTAGTAATGTTGATGTGAAAAGACAGGACGCACTAAAAACAAGGCTGATGCAAACGCTAGTTAATTCTTAATAAGAGGAAACTAACACCCCGTGAAGGAGTTTGTAATTCAGGAGCACCATCATGCAAGGTTTTGATGATTCTGAAAAAATATAAACCACTTGAGACTCGAGAGTGATCTGAAGTGGAACGAATTATAATAAGTTTTCCAAAATTGAAAGGTTGCAAACCTAGCTAGCTAGATATAGTTCACTACCATTCCTCTGTGTAACAAACTTGTTGAATTTGTTCGGGGAAACTTTTAGATCGATTTAACTATATATTGGAAAAGGCGCGCAATACCTTTTCTAGAGGGGTATTCATTATGTTTAATGATGATGCTTAATTTTAACGCCTTAGAAGGCCCACAGCCACATACATGCAAGTTTTTGTTACCAAAAAGAGTACAGTTATGTAGAATTGACCACAAGTTGGTCATACTATCCTTTGATTTTCAAGAGGGATTTGTTATACTTCGACCGAATTAGCACTATTTTTTAATATACATATATATTAGTCATTAGGCTTACATTGTTAGCATAACTTAATTTTATTTAATAGAACCATATTTAGTGACTTTCAACCTCCAAAAGAAATTGGTACCTTTGTTTGACAAGGATACATTTTGATGATGAAAGAGTCACTTCAGAAAGTTAAAATAGCAAGCATGCTTTAATTTTTATAGTAATTGAAGATATTTATATTATTAAATAGTCAAAGTTTGTGTGAAAACTTTTTAGGGGAGAGAGTTTAAATATTTCGAAAATATATAATCATTCTTATAAGTAGAAAGCAACCATCACCTTACAAACTGGTTTTGTAGGGTTGAGTTAGGCTTAATCTACTATTCTAACATGTATCAGAGCCATTTAGATCCATTTTAAAAATGGGTCACCTACCATTGATGCATGTCTCATAGGCATGAGGGGTGTATTGGAAAAAACCCAAGTCCCGCCTATCCTAGATCATTAAAATGAGCCACCCACCATTTATCCACGTACCAAGCCCAATAGTGCTGGACGTGAGGGGGTGTATTGGGAAAAACCCAAGTCCCACATCGACTAGAGATTATACAATTGAATAGTATATAAATAGAAAGCAACCCTCACCTTACAAGCCGGTTTTGTAGGATTGAGTTAGGCTTAATCCACTATTCTAACAATTCTTACCTTCAATATTAGAAAATAGAATAAAAAATTATTTATTCAGAAAACATATATGTGAAACTTTATCTAGTATAAAGAGGGGAAACGGGTTTCCATAACTGTCATCTTAGACCTTAAAGATTGGTAAAGAGAATCAATTTAGTTAAGTTAGGCTGTCGGAATAGAAGGAAACCATCACTTTCCATTCTTTTAAATCTACCAAAATTATAAATGAATCAATTTATCAATGAGCTAGACAAAACACGAGTGGTTCAAACGTTATTATTTTTGTGTCAACCAGCATAATTCATATTACCATTCTCAAAACTCATTAATTAGATGTTAAAATTAAGTAGAGGTGAGCGTATTGTTAATTTTTTTAAGCCCGAATAAAGTGATTAATATATTACTAGGAACTTTGTTATTAAGAATTATCCCCAATGAATATTATATTGAGAGTCTTGTGTAGTTGTGTATGCATTTATCGTTAGGTAAGCATAGATTAGTGAAGCAGTTTGCAATGATGCAAACAAATGTTACTTTTTCCAAAGCATGGAGAGAAGAAGTAAAAATTTGTTTCATTGAAGTTGATCACGTTTGTTTCAACTTAATTATAACCAAACATCTTATTATTCCATAACATGATATGCATACACAATTAAGGGAATTTATTCTTAACCACGATTATTGATTTAGTGAAAAGTTAGGATAGATAAATAAAGACACAAGTTTAATCCTTAATTGTTACTGTTATAGTTTTTTTATCTATAAGAAAACTACCTTTTTTAATAGTAATCAAAATTGCTTAATGTCTAAAACATGTTATACTAAGGATAAAATTATATTAAAGTTTTCATATTTATATCATTTATGTTGAAACTAAAATTTCAACACAAATATTACTCGAATTACTGAGATTCTCATAGTTTTGATACAAAATGACTATCTTTCTTAATTGTAAACCTTTCGTTTTTTTTTAGAAAAACAAAACACATTATTTTACTTAAATATAAGTAATTTTAATTACCTTTTCTTTATTCAAGAGAAAAAAAAGTTATACAATATAATATTAAACAATTATACATTGTCACCAAATCACATTATCATTTCTGATAGTTTATTAACCTTCACATAATTATCTTAAAAGTCATATTCATTTTTATTGTTTAACAATATAAAATCTTTTACACTAACAATGCATGTTTATTAAACCATTTACTTAATGATGAGTAGTCTTTCTAAAATATCATTTCTTTAATAAAAAGGCTATTTAGTTACATCACTTTTTAAAGTATTTATAATAAGAATAATTTAAAAATATATATATTATGAGATTAATAAAACTTAATGTAATTAACCGATCTTTAATATATTCACAATATTATTTTCTTTTTCCATATAAAAGAGAATGAAGGGTGTAACAATTTGTACACGCAAGTACTTAATTTAATACTCCTTTGCCTAAAATGAAGTGCCAAAACGGCATAAGAAAAATGTCCCTTATGCCATTCGCGCCTTAAACACCGATGGAGTCGGGTTGAAAGAGAACATGATCAATTCATCCCACAGAAATAAACAAAGTAATTGCACTTGCATGCATCTCCGGAATTGATCAAGACAAGAAAGATTCTCTATAATCATACGATGTTGAAGCCATTAATTAATTAGCAATAGATATGATTAAGCAAGTGGATACATAGTTATATATATATATATATCTTACACTTGAAGAGCAGACAAAAAAAAAATGTGGATCCAATGGAGGGGGTGGCATATCTAGTAGTAGTATGGTTGGTGACGTACCATGTGAGGTGAAGGATTGGAAGAAGGTTGATGATGATGATGATGATGGTAGAAATGGTGATGATGGGTATCTGTGCCCTGTGTGGTTGGCATGTTGTTACTATTGTAGGAGCATTGAGGTGTGGAGGGTCCAGAATCATGTTCAGCTTGGCATTCCATGTTGACCCCAAACAGCCTAAGTACCCTTGAACTCGGGCTCGTCCTTTGGTTCTGACCTTGGGTCCCTCTACCTGTTTACATTACAACACGTGCATATGTTAATGCCTTAATCATACATATCATTTCAGTTCAAAACAAAATAAATGTTACTCATAAGTTTTATAAATTAAAAAATGCATTCAAAATTCAATTGCGATGAGGATGAAGTGAAGAAACACAAATTAAACGGCACCGCCTAGATTTCTGAGCCTGCAAGTTTTAAGTTAAAAAGCTGAATTTATTTTTTCAAAAAGGTGAGAAATAAAGAAAATCCCCACGTACAAATTCAACGAAAATGCGCGCGTATGGTTCACGGTGGGTTTCAGCAATCTAAACAAAGTATCGCGTCCTCACAAATCCCAATATAAAACCACATTTCTCCCAATTAATTGGAAGGTAAACTTCACGCACTTCCACAAGAATGTAACTATTTCATCTTCTTGTCCTTTCAAAATAAAAATATACATAAAACCCAAGCACACTCGAAAGAGGAAAAAAAAAAAAAGCCCAAAAAAATCCACGATTATTCATGCAAAGGATAAATTAATTTTACACATACAATTTACATTCTCCCTTGTCTTAACCAAGGAACTTGCACTATTATGCCATAAAATCAAAAATCACAAAAAAAAAGGTGAAAATCAAATGAACAACATAAACGAAAGATATTTTTAATTAAAAAAAAGCGATGATTTTTGTGAGAATGTGAATGTAAGTGAAATGAAATAGAGAGACCTGCATGTTGGTATGGGAAGGGGTGATGATGCGCAGGATAAGGATGCGCAGAATAGAAGGAGGGTCTGGTCCAGTCGAGGGGCACAGCGGGAGGAGGGGTGGCGTGGGGCAGCGTCCTGCTAACGTGCGCGGGGGCGGTGGCGTTGTCAGCGTGGGGGCGGCGCCTCCAGCCGATGAAGAGGCGGTGGTTGTCGGCGCGGTGTCGCTCGAACAAAACGACGTCGCCGGCGTCGAGGCGCTTGTCCTTGACGTAGCGGCTCCAGCCCTTGGTGAGGACGTAGCTCTGGCTGCTGTTCCAGTAGGAGTAGCGGAACCGCCAGCACTTGCCCGACTCGTCCTCGAAACTCAGCAGAAGCCCCTTGCACTCGGCCGAGTCGCCGCCGCCGAGAGGGAAGTACTTCTCGGCGTGCTGCTTGGGGATTACGAGACGGTTGAGCTTCCCCACGTCGCTCGGCGTCAAGGGCTTCTCGAACATGGCCTCCTTCTCCTCCTCCGTTTCCTCCTGCTTCGTCGTCGTCGTTTCCTTCGCCTCGTACTCCTCCTCCTCCTCCTCCTTGTTCAGGTTCCCATGGAAGGGTTGTTGTTCTTGTTCTTGTTCTTGTTGTTGCTCCTGTTGATGAGGCCACCACAGTGTGGTTTCTGGAAGGTCCATGGAGTAGTGGTTTACGGACATTTTCTACTTGAGGGTTTTGTGAGATGGGATAGTGGGGAATGAGGGAAAGGGAAAAAAGGAGAAGGGTTTTGAAAGAGGCGTGATGATTATGGCTTCATGTGGGAACTGTGGGAACTATTTGATGGAGCTACCCAAGATATGACAAAGAGAGAGAGAGAGAGAGAATAAAATGTTTGACAAAAAATGTTTACTCCTCAATCAAATTATCTGCCACCAGTTTAGTGTGTTTTTCTTCAATTAAATATAGTATTTTAATAGAAAATGATTGAGAGAAAACACATATTCTCTTTCGAGAGAGACAAATTTTTGTTTCCTTAATTATCATTTCTAATTAATAAACAAGGAAAATTCTATGCAAAGGAAATGTTATTTAAATTATGTATATTGTAATTACTTCATATGTTTGGATTTACATTCAATACCAAACGCCTAAATAGTGTAGTGAAGTAACGTGTATATGATTTTAAGTTTCAATTTTATTATTATTATAATGTTATAGATGAAAAATTATTTAAATTTATTTTTTTGACGGTGTTTCATAATCATCGGATCAAAATATAATCTCATCTACAATATTAAAATTATCATTGTTCTGAATGATTTTTTTCGGCTGAAATTTATAAAACACAGTTTTTCACAAAATAGATTTTTTACATAATTTGTGAGAACAGAGTGTTTAACCACTACATAATTTTATAAGGTTAAATTAATCTTTTCCAATTTAATTTGTAGTATTAGAATTCAAGTTCTAAATGTTCAATAATGTTAAATATTTAAAAAGAGAGATATATTACTAGTAATGATTCTATCTAATTCACGTAAGAATGCTTTCTTTATGGGATATATGTGGTTTACATTAATAAATAATAATAATAATAATAATAATAATAATAATAATAATAATGATAATAATAATAAGACTTAGACTCATGTAATCATGTTTATAGAAGTGATAATATGTTCAAAGATGATAATTTCTTAATATTTTGAGAGATTAATATTCAATTTTAGGTGTAGAAACACTCTGGTTTATAAAAAAACATTGCAATAATTTTCTTAAAGATATTCAATATTATAGTCTTAAAATTAGACAAACTATCTTAATTTTTTTTATAAACTAACATGTATTTATTATAAATAATTTAATTTTAAAAATAATATTTATTTTATTTTATTTATATATTATGTCTGGTTATTTTTTAATTTAAAGGTTTTAAAATATTTATATTTATTAAAATTTAAAATACCCGCCACTCACGTAAGACTTAAGGTTAAGTTTACGAGCTAAATAATTAAAATATATCCCGACGAAGGATGGACAATGACAACAAATTTGAACATTAAATAATTAATATTATATATAATTATTTGTATCTCTTTTATTATTTATTTTTGTTTTTACACTTATTTCAAAAAAAATTAAAACTAAAGAAACAACATTTTTTTCATTAGTTTTAGTCAATAATTAATCCGTAAATTTGGTATATGAGTGCGTGGTCGTGCTTCTCCTCTATCTAATTATGTTTAGTGAAATAGTAATGATAGTTGAATAAGTTCATGAAAAGGTATACATGCACCTGTCTTAGTTATATATACTACGTGAGACATACTGAGATTATAAAAATGAATTATTACTGAATTGGGCCGAACATTTATGTCTATGAATCCTGAGAAAGAAAGAGAGATTCTACAGGTGAGTAATTTCGTGGAATTAGGGACATCCCATGTTACTAAATTGGCAAACAAATCAAGTATCAGGAAGATGGGACCCTTCTCTTTCTCCATTCCCAGACTAAGTAATCATCATAATCGATCTGCTCCACTCTCATCTTCTTCTATCTAATAATCCCTTCCATGCTTGGCCGGCCTAGTTACTAATTTATTTTCACACCGAATTCCATTTTCATTTTGCCTCAACATCCTTTGACTTTCTTTGGTTATTTGGAGTTAATGAGTGACTTAAAAGTATAGGTTAAAAAGTTTTTAATGAAAAACATGGTAGAGCTAGGTGCATTGGAATAAGGTAAAATGTTTTAATAATACTTTGCCATATAAAAGCATTCCATAGTCTTTGATTCCTTGGCATTCTCTTTTGTTTATTTAATTCTCCTTGGAATATTAAATTTTTTTTTTTTTTTTTACTTTCTTTGATCAATCAATGAATCTCATAATTTCAACCTTTTTGGTTTACATAAAAATGTAAGACCGTCCACATGTAATAGGTAAAAAGGTAAAAACCCTACTATTTTTAATTTGATGTCCAATGACTTCATCTTTGTGCTTCAGATCGATCAAAGGGTGGCCGTTGATGGTTCTGAGAGAAGATGAACTGAGAGACAAAGAGAGTGGTCCATGTCCTCCTTTCTTTTTTGTATCCTTATGATGGGCATGTGTGTACGCAGATATAGGTCTAACTCATTGAGGTATCTCCAAAATGTGTTATCTTCAGATGAAAGAATAGTATTTATGTCACGTGCAAGACTGCATTATTTCTGTTTGGCCACTCCTAGTTTTCAATGATAGGAAATAATGAAATTGAGTTTTGAGAAGGAAAAAAAAAAAACAAAAAGCAAATAATTAAGTTCAGGATTGAGGAGTAAAATATCCACTGATACCTTCCGTTCCCAATAAACGCAGATGGGATAAGATTTGTCCAATTAGAGAAGACACAAAATCCTTTTTTATTTTTATTTTTATTTTTAAGAGGATCAATTCATTTTTCCGATAATTAATATTAATTTTGTTCATAATTATATTTTTCGTAAAGTCTCTTTTAATTAAATTTTTTTATAAATAAAATTAAAACATATAAAATTTACTTAAAATATCTGAATTAATTAATATCTCTCTAATCCACTACTTATTAAAAGACATGAAAATTCTGTTTGTATAAACGTGTTTGAATCTCCTCCTCACACTTGAATCTCTCCCACACTAACACTTTGTTTACTTATCCGGTCCCTTGGCTGTCTACCCCATGCACCCTTTTTTTTAATTAAAATATGGTTGTATTCCATAATATTTATTTGGTTCTTTAGTTAGATTGCGTCTTTTCCATGACTTAAAGACAAAACTCACCTCAATTTCCAGGTAGATTCAGACACCCTTTTCTGCTCCACCAAAGGTTGAACTGTGTGTTGTTTTAGTTTAAGTACATGTTAGAGTCTCGCCCATAATTATAGAGCCTAGTTTGGCCTTTTGTAAATTTCCATTATTAATTCTCTAATACAAACAACCATCTTTGTGTCATCTTACTCCAGGTATATGTGCTTAAATATTCTCTATCATGTCACATCCCTTTTGATCGGACGGTCCACACACACCGCAAAAAACAAACATGGAGTGCAATTAATTCCCAGAACAAAACTTGAAAATTGCACTTGCAGGCCCTGCAAATGATGATGAGACTCCCTTACATGTAAATGCCGAAACCTGAAATTTTTATTTTACTCGCGCAAAGATGTTGCTTGGCCTAGTGCAGGAATCCTTAAATATGAAGAAAGACACAGGCTTGGTTGGGTTAGGAATCTGCATGCCATGTTATAGTTTATTTGAGGGAAGAGATGGGGAACAAGACAAGCAAATGAGATATTTAAGGAAACTAGGGTAGGGAAAATGCAAAGGGAGGGGGGTAACCATGTAATAATATACACATAATAATATATATGAATACATACATACAGTGTGACAGAACCACAAATTTAATATTTTTCAATTCTGGGGGTTCTCATTCCCCAAGTAAAATCCCACACCAACTGGGTTTTGCAAGATCTATCCTAGCCTAAAGTCCCATGTCTTTCTTTTAGCAATAAATTGCATGAGGACACATACATTAACTTGGCCAAGTCTTTTTTTTTATAATAGAAATAATTTTAATATAATATGATCGGACACCCTTTCCAATACATTCTCAATTATCGAATAAATTTATTATAAAAAAAACATGATATCTATTTTTTTAATCAGTTACAATGAAAACCAAACAAGTTGAACTTAAAATCATATATTACTTCAATTTCGCATCCCTAGTGTGGTTAAAGAGTGATACTTATTAAATAAGTATGCAAGATCTACAAAGTTGTTATATATAATGACATAATAGTTAGATATTTTGTACTTGTACATAAAAAATGATCTATTTTCTTTGTGTGTGAAAATCTTTCTTTAGAGTTGGCAACAACAATCACAATACTACTGGAAGATTGATGTATTACCCGATAGACTAGGAATACGTGAGGCAAGAAAAAAACAAGCCAGCGAGCATGGTTTTGTCATTGAGATGCCATGATTGGTTTAACTTCAACTATATGTTGTCTTTTGTAAGAGATCAGAGAGACCGTTCCAGATTGTAATTGCTATAGTTCATTGTAGCATTGATGTATTCCAAAATCAACTTGTTAACAAAAGGCCAAGAACGATGTACACAATCTATTATCTTTGATACGCATCCTGCACCCGAGTTTATCGTACACTGAGACTAATAAACAACAATAGCTGCTCAATTAATAATATATACTTGAAACCAATCTAGTTAATTTTAAAATTACAATAAAAAAAAACTATTAAACCATTTAACAGCATAATTAAAGTTCGATCAGTTATTCTTTGACCAGTCTTAATTGACACGCCATGCATATGCTATTAGAATTCAGATTAACTTATCATATTTCGGACTAGGGACAAATGAATTAAATTAAATACACCTTTGGGTAAAAGGGTAAGTGGGCCAATTAGTTGGAGTCGATCTCACTTATAGAAATTATTAATATTAATGATTATAAATATAGTAATATGTTTGCATGTGGCCCTTTTCGAGTTAAAAAGCGTACAATGATCCCAGGCCAGATGCACCAATTTATATATTTATACGTATATGTGACCCTAAATCTCCAACAAAAGCAGTAAAGCATATTGAAAGGTATAGTCGAAACCCAACCAAATAAGAAACCAGAAAGTTGATGCCAAATTTCAATAATAATTTGGGTCACGCAATTCTCATTTTGTGTATTTTTGTTCCTAGCTTGAAGATAATTAATTAGTGGGGACCATTGTCCTCAAGTCTACATATACTTGAGCCATACTTGTCGTTATTGATGGACCATTAACTTTGGTAATAGTGCACAAATGCAAAGTGGACGATATGTTAGACTTTGATCACATAGGTAGGGACTCAAGTGTCACTAACCTTTCCATTGTCTTTGGAC